TAATAGATCATAAGTAATGATAATTAATACTATCTAATAATACTTAATAACACTTAATGATAAGTGATTGTAGTCAATGATTAGTAGTTTATGAATTACCTATACTACTGCTATCTGGGGGGTTCCTTATCATCATCATAGTATAATGAGGCCCCAAAACCCTATTCTAATTATTAACGCCCCTACATAAGTCGGAAACGAAACGTTGGTAACAACGTCCGTATAAAAGGCTTCTTCGGGCACGGTCGCCACAGGTTTAACTCGAGACGGCTGTCGGGTCCATTCTGGCAACAGGCAACCCAGAAACAAAGGTTTAGCCTTTCAGGTTCACCTGAACCCCACAACACCTACTTTTTTCAAGATTCTAAGAACATCATAATCAGAGAGAGAGAGAGAGCGGTGGTTTAGGATTGCGTTTCGCAGGTTCTTTCCGAGGGTCAGAGTACCCTTATGCCGCCCTTATCCGGAGTTGTCGTCGGAAAGCCCCCTTATTGAGGCGGGGCACGGCCCAATGCGGGTAGTATGACTGAGGTGGGTTTGGAGCGCCTCGCAAAGCCCGGCACGGCACAGCCCAATCGAAGGTTTTGGTGGACGTTCACAACACACTCCTCAATGCTGCCCCACTTACTCAGCGAGGTCGCAGCGTTCAATTTGCTCTTTTTCAAGCCTGAGCGTGCTTAGTGAAATATGTTTTCCGAAGCAGTATCCGAGAACACTTCACAGCGCAGTGCCCGACAACCGCAACGAGGGACTGTTGTTGATGGCAAGAGATTGTGCGCGGCCGTCCCTGCTTTGCAGGAAAGGGGGCGAAAGTTGAGACAATCTGGCTCCCTGTCTAACGCAGCAATTGGGCTGTTGAAACAAGAAAGGTTCCATGCAGAACCCATAACCCTCAATCCTGAAGCCTAAACTCCAAAACTCCAAATCGCAAATTGAAACATAGAGCGAAGGTAGGAGCGGTCTGCTGAGTTAGACTAACACCTTCTGACGGACTTGTGTTTTAGGAGGGTTGCTGGGAAACCTAGACCATAACCGGCTCAAGGACCATGCAGTCACAGCCCATTGAGAGCCAATAAGCTTCACTTCTTGAATACATACGTATATATATATATATATATCTCTATATATATATATATATATATAGGTATTAAGATATCGAATGTGAAGTCTCGTGCAACTCGGGCCGCAACCCTCAATGGTTGAGCAAAGACATACTGAACTTTCTAACATGTTCTTTCTTTTGCAATTTGCGTAGTGCATCTTTCCAATTTCCAGATTTCATACTTCTTCATTATCTTGAGACGCAGAGCTTTCCTTTCTAACATCAAGTACGTGCTCTAGCCACACTGCTTACAGTACAAACCCCAACGTTGGGGGACTCAATAGCTTCAATCCTTCAGAGTCATATATAGGGAATCCCAGCACTATTTGTCCTTAATCCGGTTTCCGACTTTTTGGGGTGTGCTATAACCAATATAGGGGCCTTAGTAATTAGAATAGGGTATGGGGATATATTCTACTATAGTTATAATAAGGAACCCCCAAAACCCTATTGTCATTTTTAAAACCCCTGCATTAGCTGTCTTTTGACGCGTTTCTGAGGCTTGCCGACCCCAAGACGAAAAGCCCTAAACCCGAAACCCAAAACCCCAAAACCCAAGCCCATAGTCAAGAGCTTATCTAAGATCAACTGTTTTGGCTTGGCCTGTTTTATCATCTTGTTCGGGGTGAAAGGTGTTTGGGGGCATGTTAGGGTGTTTGAGGGGGGCGTGTTGTTGCTGTACAGATACGTCGGGACCACCCTGCAGGAATATACCAAACTTCCCATAGTTTAGGGTCCTTACGGTAATGCAGGCTTTAGATCATCAACAGTAGCTCTTCCGCTTGCCTGGATTGCTTCATGTCAGACCTCCCTGGTTCACTCCTTTCGGGACCGGGATTTTCGAGCTTATGAGCAGTGTAGGGTTTAGGGCCGAGGGCTACACAACGGTATTTTGTCTCAAACCCAAATACCCTCAGCCCTAAAACTCTAAACCCTAAGCCCGAAGCCAAAATCCCTAAACCCATAAAGCCCTACGTGCCAGAAGCCCCGGAAGCCATGGAGTTATGAGGTCCCTCGTTCGGGCGAGTTGCCCAACCGTGAGCTCCAGGTTCGCTCGGGCTTTTCGAAGATCGCTTTTTGAGTGTCGAATTTGGAGTCGACGTAGGGCTTGGGGTCTAGGGCAGTTTAGGGTTTAGGGCAGTTCAGGGGCTAGGGCTTAAACGTCATTAAGTCCCTCTTGTCTGTTCTCTGTGGCCTTTGGGTTGTTTTTTTTGGGCGGTGCTTTCAGACTTTGGGGGGGAGCAGGCAGGGCCGGGCTTATACCCAGAACGACTCTAAAGGCATTGGGTCTCCAATGGTCTCCATGGATATTGGGTGATTCCGAAATAAGGGGTACCTTCTTTTGGGGTTCTTATACTGAGGAACCTACTATTTGGGGGACTATATTAGGGTCCCCTATTTTCGGAAACCCCCATATTGGGTGATTATGAGTAGGGTGTGTCGAGGTTGACGGTCTTGCCAGGTGCGAGCAGCGTGTACGATCTCAGGTGTTGGGCGTAGGAGGATAGGAGTTGCAATTGTAGCATGAACTAGCATGAGATGCCCTGTGCAAAGAAAGGTGTAGAATGCTGGAATGGCAGAGGCCTTCAGGCAAATCAGATAGTTTTAGGATTTGATTATTGGTTGCAAAAGCTACACCCCAAGACCATCGGAAAATATGTCGGTTTCTCTGCGATGGTGGGGCCCAGGTTTTTTTTGTTCAGGAACTTGGGGAAGTCCTGCTGCTGGCAGGGAACAATCTCTGCGGGCCTAGCATTTGCTAAACTAGACTATACCGTATTCAGCCATAACTAACCATACGGTACCATGGTAGACAATAATATTCAAATGAAATCTATCACAGTTGATCACAACATACTGTACTATTCTGAACAAAAGCCTTGGACCATCCTCTCAGATTGGCTTTGGGCATGCTGCGGTTTTGGGAGTCTCGGCTCTGCAAAATCTTGCTACCGCAGTGAAGGTTGGTGCCTAAACTCTTGGCGTCCAGGGTTTAGGATCAGTACTGGAGAAATAATGCAACAAGACTAGTAACCTTCAGAATACATAAACAACATGAAATGGGTAGTCGCCATGAAAGAATGATGATATTGACAGCAAGTTAATGAGAATAGCGATAGCAAGTTCTTCAACAGACAGGAGGATCTTGGCGTCGTCCAGGCAGTTGGGTCCTGAGGTTTCTGGTGAGGTGGAGGACTTCCCAAAGCTGGAGCGTGAAAGTTCTCAACGACTCAACAGCTGTACCCATAGGCCCCATAGTGGTTCCTTTTTGGGAGTACCTTATAGGGTTCTATGTATGAACCCCCAAAAGGAACTACTTTAGGGCCTAGGGGTAGAGGTGAGCTTTCGGATTAGGCTCCGCTGACGACGAGGCTTGAGTGCCCATCATAGTCAGTAAACACACACATGCAAACGACGGCGCTACCGCGACAAGGCGCGGCTGTCCAGGAGTAAACACAGCACCATCTGCGCGCAAGAGCCGTCAAACCACAAACCATAAGGGCAAAGCCGAAACCCCAAAATCCCAAAGCGATCCTCTTGCTGAAGACCCTTCGTCTTCCTCGCAACTCCGACGGTCGAGCTCAGGTGTGGCCGACAAAGTGGTTGAAGCCATCAAAGGCTTGCGCAGATGATGTATGGCTCTTCTTGCTGCTAAAGCACCTTCATGTGTATTGGTACAGCTAGAGTTCTCAATATGATTATTCAATTCATGATTCTCTTTAGTCTTGTCAGTATTTTTGCCGGGTGCTGGTGGTCGTGGCCGTATCGGATTCGTAATGGTATTGGTGGGATGCGCGTCGTTTGTTTACGCACATGTTCTATCCGGCTGATTATCGTCGTCGTTGTCACCGCCGCAGTGCTGCGATCACGGTTCCTGATGTCTTAAACCAGGTTGCCAACTTTTTTGTTTACGCCCGACTTCCCATTGGGCCGTAGCAGTGGATGAGGCCCACCGCATCACCAGTCGATGGCGGTTGATTACTTATCTTAAACCCGAACAGTGATGATTTGACGGTTGATCACAATTTGAAACGTGCGGTTGATCACATCTCTGAAACCCACCCTTTCACTGGGCGACGGCATTTTTGTCAAGTCTCTGACGCCCTCGCTTGAGCACATGTTTGTAAGTTAAAGTCTTACATCGGCCCCCGCATTAAGTCATGGCGGTGCATCGCATCTCTTCGGCCCTTCCCCTTATTCAGCGATGGCGATTGATCGCATTTCTTGGTCCCGCACCCTCAGTAGGCAATGACGGTCGGGAAGCCGAAAGCGAAGAAGCATGAGACCGACAAGCCAAAAGCATACAGCGCACGAGCAGGAATATCAAGCAGTCCAAAATGGCATGAGCATCCAAATGCCATTGGACCAGCAGCAGAAGGAGTAGCAGTAGCAGTAGCAGCAGCAGTAGCAGTAGTAGTAGAAGTAGAAGTAGTACTAATCATAATATTAACAGTTTCGCTATTCTTCTTCTTGTTGCTGCTGTATCGGCTGTGCTGTTGTTGCTGGACCTCTTGGTTGAAGCAGTCAGGTGATTGGCTTGCTGATCAGCTCCAGTAATGTCGCCTGAAGCGAAGCTACAAGCTGAGAAGCCTTAATAACAGGCACCTCCCCCCCTGCCCTACTGAAGCACTTCAGTGGCTGATCCGCACCCATCCAAAGATCCTGTCGCAGGAGGGGAGGGAGGGCAGGACTGAAGCAGAAGGAGAGAATTGACTATCTCCCCTCTATAGTCCGGCAAACTTGTAAAAGTCTACTATACCTCAATCAACCTTACACTGATTCTTAAACCCTCTAAAGCCCCTTCATGGGGCCAGCCCGAAAAAGGGGACCCTATCATGGGACCCTAGAGTACCCCAAAAAAGGGGACCCTTTCATAAAGCCTATAGTACCCTTACAGGCGGACAGCTGAAGCACGTGTTCGTTATCGGAGGCCTGGCTGCTGAGGAATCTTCCAGCTTCGGCTTTTTTGGTGATGGAAGCTTTGCAGCTTCAGAGTGAAGGGCTCTTCTTAAGGACATAAAGTAAAGCATAATCGCTGTAACAATAAGACGAATAAAGTTTAAAATCGTAAAAATGAGGGATACCTTTAAGGTTGCCGAGAGTGCCCTGAACTAGTGGGATCTGCCACATTGCCCACACCCTCAGCCCTAAACCCTAAAACCCTGAGCCCTAAACTCCTAAACCCGAAACTCCCGCATGTCAAATCTTGCAGGTTGTGATGGAACCGAAGGCACTCGGAGCTACTTTACGGATCTGGCGGCCGACACTCCCGTCGCCCGGCCGCCTCACAAGTGAGCATGAGGGGAATAAGAATGAGGAGACGAAATATAAACAGTAGTAGTACTAATGGCAATAGCAATGGTAATAGTCATGGTAATAGTAACAGTAATGGTTATAGTATTGGTAATGGTATTAGGGCTGAGATGGATAACTGGACGACCCAACACGTGTAGGACATCGTAGGACCAAATTCACTTTCATGGGACCCGGCCATTTGCCATTGGCCAGCACTGGGGGCATTCGCCGGGAGGTTCGGCGATGCTTCTCCAGTGAAGGTCTGTTAGGGTTTACGATCACGAGTGGACGACGGAGTGTCTGTGACTTTGAGAGTGGGAAGTGTCGCGTATCTTAGATCCCCAAATCCATGGAGGACGCAAGATAAGAGGCTCGAAGCTCCTATGCTAATGACGACGACTGCTGCTGCTGCTGCTGCTGCTGCTGCTGCTGCTGCTGCTACTACTGCTACTGTTACTGCCACTGCTACTGCTACTGCTACTGCTTTACCACCAGTGAGATCCTGTTTCAGGTGCCCTTGTTCACCCTGGCCCTCACTGAGTACTGAAAGTCTTGATTATCGGGACCTAATCACCCAAAGGGTCCAAAGTACCTATATTGCAGCATACATGGTTGCTATATTAGGAATCCTTATTATGATTTGAGAAAGTATCCCCCATAACAGTACCTAGGACCCTTTGGGTCATCAAGGGCGGTTCTCATACTTGAAGGCCCAGGGGACTTAGTAACTAGGTTACAAGTAGCGTTATAAGTGCCCTAAATGGAGTTACCCCGATTAGAACCCTACTTATAACTTATAACCGACTTACTAAGTCCTCTGGGCCTGGGCCTCTAAATATCTCTGCAAGGATGACTCGATCATCCTCACCCTGGGCTGTGGCAAGTTCCGTCTGAACGGCAGGGACTATGGCACCATCGGGGGCATTCCCCGCACCTCGTCAAGATCCCCTTTTCTATGCAAAGAAAGATGAGCATTGAGTTGCGCCTGAACACTAACCCCTAAACCTTGGATTATTGTTCCGTGTTTCGGCCACTCCTCTCCCGAACCCAAGAGTTGAAGACTTAACTAATAACCTATACTATTTTGGGGGTTCCTTATCATAATTCTAGTATAGTTATACAGGGTCCCAAAACCCTATTCTAATTATTAAGGCCCCTATATTGGTTCCTAAGGCTTGCTCGACGTCGGTCAGTGCAACGACGCCTATGGCGCAGTTGTCATTGCAACAAAGCTGGCCGAAGCCCTGGGGTGCCGCTGGCTATGGTTTTGTTTGTTTAGGGCTTATAGGGTTTATAGGGTTTAGGGTTTATAGGGTTTATAGGGTTTAGGGTTTATAGTGTTTATAGGGTTTAGGGTTTAGGGTTATACTTGGAGGCCCAGGGGACTTAGTAAGTAGGTTATAAGTAGAGTTATAAGTGCCCTAAATGGAGTTACCCCAATTATAACCCTACTTATAACCGCCTTACGAGGTCCCCTGGGCCCCCAAGTAGGGTGTGAAGTTTGGGTTTTATGAGGTGTTGGTGGGTTTACGAAAGTTGTTCTCAACATGAGCTCTGTGAAGGTACTTGCCCCTCTAGGAAGTGTAACTTGCTGCGGACCCGAGAGGAACTGCCACCAACAACGGCGACAATTCAACAGCAGCAACCTGCAACATCACAAGTAGCTGCGGCAGTAAAATCTGCATCTGCAGATTCATGAACAGCAAACAGGAGAGACAGCAACAGCGGCAGCATCACCATCGCCGCGCACCATCCCCAACACGGCACTACGTCAAGCCAGAACGGTTGTGATAGTTTGTGTTACTGTTAGCAAAGCTGGCGAAGGTGGGTCATGGAAGTATATGACAGGAGTGAGCATGATCTTCGCCTCAAGCATCACCATCAGCATGATATTTTTGAACTGAATGAGATCGTACCATGACAGTAAACAACGTTGCTATCGATGAGGGTAGCCCCCAGAAGGGCGAGCAAAATCAGCTCACATGCAGTAGTGACGGGGACAAGATTCCACCCCTAAACCCTAAACCATAAACCCTAAGCCCTAAACCCTAAACCATAAGCCCTAAGCCCTAAACCCTAAGCCGCTTGCGTGCCAGGTGTGGTGTACACGACTTGCCGCTGCACTTTGCAGTGTCCTGGTTCGAGCAGAAGGCTCCTACGGGCTTGGGGACGAAGATCACCCTAAACCCTAAACCCTAAACCCTAAACCCTAAACCCTAAACCCTAAACCCTAAGAGCCTCAAGCCCTAGATCCTAAAGGCCCTAAACCCGAAACCCTAAACCTTAAACCCGAATTCATAAACCCTAAACCCTAACCTTAAGCCCTAAGCCTTAAGCCCTAAGCCCTAAGCCCTAAGCCCTAAGCCAGTAGCCAGTAGGCATCGTGGCTCCTGTTTCATACTTTCGAAAAATACTCCTTGTGGTTCCTTACCAGGTGATTTTGCGGAAAATGTCAGTATAGGAACTTCCAACAAACCCTAAAACCCCAAACCCTGAAGCCTCTTCCCCGAAAAACCCTTACAGGGAAACCCTCCCTTCAATCGCCGTCCCTCCAAGCTCCTTGTTTTTGGAGGCTGTCGCCGTCTTGTTGACGCTGCTTCACCTTGAGCTGCTCCTGGGGCTGCTTAGGAAGGGTTTAGGGCTTAAGGGGTTTAGGGGTCTTAGGGGTCTTGGGTTTAGGGCTTAAGGGGTTTGGGGGTCTTAGGGGTCTTGGGTTTAGGGTTCGAAAAGGGTGTTTTTTTTTTCGGGCTTGCTTCATCGTTTGTTTTTTTTCGGAGGGTACAGGGCTGCACCGGACTCTTATCGGGCTTTTTGCTGGCCACCTGTAGGATTCTTTGGGGGGCTTTGTCAGGGTGTTGTTCGGGGCTTCAGCTTCAGCTGCACCGGGGCTGCAATGCGGCTGGGGCATTGTGGTGGTTCACAGCGATTCGGGATTTGTTTACTGGGCTGTGGTCTAAAATGGCTTTTCTTTTGAGGGCTTCATACGGGGCTTCTGCAACATGGGGGGGGCTTCTGCACTAAGGATCCTATTGTGAGGGTCTGCAGCCTGCTATTTTCCGAAACTACACCTTATCAAGTGTAGGTGTCACAGACCCTTAGGGTAGGTTTCGAGCTTGGGCCTTTTTGATGCTTCCTTGAAGTAGTGTAGGTGGTACCATGTATTGAGTGTGTATATGTCCTTGGGACAAGAGGGTTAGTTGGAGGCGTCCTGGATGTTCGCTGTGTTTGAGGCCGGAGGTTTAGGCAGGGCCGAAACCCTAAACCCTAAAAAAACTCTACAAAGAAAGACGTAAGCCCTGAACCTTAAACCCTACCCTAAACCCTAAATCTTAAACCCTAAACCCTATTCCCTATTCCCTAAACCTTAAACCCCAAACCCTAAACCTTAAACCCGAAACCCTGAACCCTAAACCCAGACACGTGGCTTCGGATCGGAGGTCTGGAAAAATTCCAAACACAGGGGTGGTAGCGGCTGAAGTCAAGCCGTAGGCTCTTCAGATGAGGGAGGACGGACCCTTTTTGTGTTTGCTGAGTATCGGAATGTCAGGCTTAGAGTTTAGGGTTTAGGGTTTTGGGTTTAGGGCCCTCATCCTCTCAAGCTGTCATGTACCCTGGCCCCAAACCCTGATCCTGAAAAGCTATGACGGAATCAGAAGCAGTCCTCCGAGGTGTAAGGAGTGCCCCGACCGACAGAGACACACACACACACATACACCAGAGATCACAAGCCCTGTCGCCCGAGAGCCTCAACGACAAAGCTGCAGCTGTCTGCTTGTTAGGGTCTACGGGAGGAGGACGCTGTGGGAACCTATGTGCTTCACTTGTCATGGCTACTACTTAACATTCTCTAGGGTTAAGCGTTCCGGGTTGAGTCTGCTGTGGCAAGGAAGAACATCCGCTTGGGCCCAAACCTACCGGCCTTTATCACACCGAAGGCTCGCTGGGTTTTGTGGTTGGCGTAGGTTCTGTTTTTGTCTTCCTTAGTAGCTTCAAGTCCCTTGAAGTTGCTCACAAGTTTTACTAATTTAAATTACACTAACTACTAGTATCGTTGGTAGTTTCTTGAGGTTTCCATTCTTGACTCCTGCGGTTTCTTGTCGAATCGACGCGATCCTCGTAGTGCGTTCGCTCAATGTGCGTTTCTGATTCAGCTTCCTTCTGCAGCTCTGATCCCCAGAACACAGTCCCTTGACGTAGTGCCTTACATGATTACCAGTACTACTTTGGGGGCTCCTTATTCCCCCAAAACCTTATTTCTGAGCCTATTCTAATCATTCAGGCCCCTTCATTAATCTTTGAGGGTTTAGGGTTGGGGTGAGATGTCTCCTCGGACTCACCAAGTCCGAAATCATCCTAACTTTGAACACGGCAGCAATCCCAAAAATCCCCACATCCCGGAAGAGTCTCGGAACGCAGAAGCTGCAGCTGGTTGGCTTTGAACTCATGTTGAACGCTAGAGGCTGGATGACAGCATCTGTCCTTTGTCAGTGTGCGGTGAGATGTCGAGTGTTGGTATTGGTGGCAGTTCCAGTTGATATTTTCGACAACCGTGTCAGCAGTGTTGGTGCTGGGGATCTGCTGCCTGCCGCCTTCGCATTGCAGCCCCAGAGTTACCGCTGCGTGCAGCTCCCTCTGCTGTGGCCTGCCTGTAAGCCTCACACTCCCATCTCCCTAATATAGGGGCCTTAATAATTATGATAGGGTTTGGGGGTATATTATACTGTAAATATAAGAAGGAGCCCTCAAAACCCTATTCTAAGTATGAAGGCCCCTTACTCTGCAGGCCAGTGAAACCCTGCCGAATTCTGGCCCTAAACCCTAAACCCTAAACCCTAAACCCAAACAACTGGCTAGGTCCTTGCGGTCCTCGGCGAGAAGTTCGGCCTCAAGCCTGCCAACATACATGCCGAGGATGAGGCCCCCATGGTTAAGCGGCATACTATATTCAAATGACGGAACATGCAATAGTTAGTTGTCTGGGGTTTAGGGTTTAGGGTTTAGTTGTACAATACCCAATGTCGACTGTGGCTGTTCTTCTCTGCTGCTTCTTTACGGCAACAGTGGCTTCTCACCGTCCTTATCCTCATATCAGAGGACGTTTGTACGGCAGACATTGCTTAGTATTCGAGCATTCAGTTTGTCGAAGTGTGTCCGTTGGCCAGTTTAGCCTGCACCTCCTAGTCCTCCTTGTTACCTTTCGCTGCTAGAAACTATTCCTCCCCATTCTACCACGATCACTACAACGACGACACATACCTGTCACTGTTTGGAGGGGCTGCGGAGAGTAGCATTTCCATTGGTAGCAGTTTCTGTCTCTTGATCTGTCATACATACCCTACATGTTATCCTGAGTGGTACACCCTGAGTCCGACATGGTTGTAGCTGCAGTAAGACGTTCCCGCGTTGAGCCTGCTTTGCTTGAGAGTTATCCTACGAACGGCTTCGTAAGCCCTAAACCCCGAATCCTGAACTCTACGGATTCTGCTGTGGAAACAGGCTCTCCAAAAAAAGAACCCCAAACCCTAAACCCTAAACCCCTAAACCCTAAACCCCTAAACCCCTAAACCCTAAACCCCCAAACCCCAAACCCTAAACCCAATCTGTGGGGGAACTGCTGTGAAGTGGGCCTCACAAGGACTTGGAGGCGATGCTGCAGGGCAAATGAGTCCAGTGCCTCGGGTTGAAAGTCTTTGGTACAAAGGCTTTGCAAGAGAATGTACTAGACCCCCGCAAACCCGAAACCCGAAACCCGAAACCCTAAACCCCTAAACCCCTATACCCCCAAACCCGAAACCCTAAACCCCTAAACCCCTAAACCCCTAAAACCCCTAAGCCCGAAACCGTAAACTGTACCAACAGATCAGGATGAAAATGGCTTTAGGGAGTCTGAGCTTTTGAAGTCTCCAATCCGAGGAAGGAGCGGGGTACCCCAACGTGGTACCCGCAAGATGATCGGGTCGAGTTAGGTTTAGGTTTAGGGTTTAGGGATTCTTTGTTCTTGGGGCGGGTACGAAGAGTACTAGAGCAGCAGCAGGAATCGCAAATAGCAATATATAAGAGTAGCTGGGCTTCGGTGCAAGTTCTTGGAGCACCAACTCGACCTGGCATGTTCCGTACGATTTAAGCCTCTTGAAGCAGTTCAAGCTGTGGACACAAGATTACCTTGGCTCTACTCCCGAAGGCTCTCGAGCTGTTGGCTGTAAGAGGTGCTGTCACTATGCAGTACTTTAGCATTACTAGTACTATTGAGAGTTACTATCATTAGTAGTGTTTATGTTATTGTCATCATCATGATGATTACCGTTATGTTCATCAGCTTTTTTGTTATTAGTGTTATCAGAATTGCTCTAATTCCAATCCCTATGACTATTACGATTACCGTCATCATCACTAGGGTTACTGTAAGTATAGAAGCTCTGCACATTTGTGCTCCAACAAGTTCGCAAACTTGATCATATCAGTTTTCTGGGCCGTGCGTAAATTTGAGGCTCGTTGCCAGGATTGTTTAGGCCTTAAGCCCTAAGCCCCCAGACCCCTAAACCCTAAACCCATAAACCCTAAACCCCCAAACCCTAAACCCTAAACCCTTAAACCCCAGACCCCAAACCCCTAAACCCGAAACCCCAAAACCCTAAACCCTACAAACCCTTACACCCTAAACCCCACACTCCTAAGCCCTGCAGCAGGTGAGCTTGCTTTCTGCTCTTGGGCTCTCATGTCAGGAAGAATCGAAATCAGAGTTTGGGTTGCTGGCGCTGTGTTTCGCCGGTTTTCCTTTTCTAATCTTCTTAACAGCTCTTGAGGCTCTGGCAGCAGAGTCTGACATACATATATATATATATACATACATACATACATACATACATATAGTGTAAGTGTGTATAAATAAATAAATAAATAAAATATATATATATATATACATTATACTGTACTATATGATGCTATACTATGCTATGCTATACTATACTATCTGCCGGAGTGTTTTGCACTTGGGATTTCAGAGACCCATGGACACTCAGAGCACGGGGCTTGTCCTGCGGAGCCACGGTATGCATGGACAGCCAATTTGAAGCGTCGTTCCTAGGCCTCTCATGACTCAACATGATGCCTCAAACGCTGCAATCCGGAGCCGGCAGTGTGCCCAACCTGTGCAGGGAGTATAGGGCCTGGGTGTACTTGACCGCTCGCTAACCATAGGACGACGTGACTTCCCTGAAGGGATGCAGGCGGCGAGTTGTATGATCTTGCACCAATTATGCAACTTTCCTGCAGACACGACATTGGCCTCTGCAGTGCCGCCAACGGGGTCAACAGCTGATTTTCGTTGCATTCCTCAGCGTTTGTGTCTACATGTTTAGAAGCTTCCCCGAAACCGTCCTTGTGAGTTGAAGTAGACTTTGCAACATGTGGGTTTAGGGTTTAGGGTTTAGGGCTTGGGGTTTAGCGGTTTGGGGTTTAGGGTTTAGGGTTTTCAGGTTTAGGCTTTATGGCCGGCTCCACGACCGGGATGGCTGTAAGAAGCCACCAGGTTGCCCCAAACACATTCACCCGTGGTCGGAGACCCGAGCCAGGACGCCGATGGCTCTCGAATTGTATTTGTAATTACTAGTGATAGTGACAGGCTTGCAGTGATAGTAGAGTAGCACCAGAAACAGTAGTAGCAACGGTAATCATAACGACAATAACAACAACAAAATAGTGAGTCGATGAAAGCTGTAATAGTAGTTAGCAGTCTCGCCTTTATTAACTATACAATCTTAGTGCTGAGTATTGTTGTTCTTGTTTGCCATGGTTTGCCTTCGTGCCGTTGAAGGGCCACAGATTTACGAGTTTATGGTTTGTTGGGTCATGCAAGGCCTGTCAGAGATTTGCAAGCCTCTCACACCACAGGCCTTGAAAACACCGGCCTTAACCCCTTATGCATCACGGGTTAGGGTTTAGGGTTGAGGGCTATGCATGACAACGCAGCACATGGAATGAATACATTCTTGGGCAGAGAGGATAACTTAACCTAAGACAACGACTGACACATAAAGGCAGGAAAGACACAGCTCCTACGAAAGATGCCAAGTCAAAACAAGCAACAGCAACATAGAGACTTAACCCAGTCTAATTATTAAGGCCCCTCTATTAGGCCGATCGGGGTTGTGGGCAAGAGAGCACCACGCCGCAGGCGAGCAGTAGGAAAAAAATAGTATCAAGACAATGAACCTAGTGTCATATCGGCAACTGGAGACATGCGACATGTGTAAGTCAGGCCTGAGGTTTGAGAGCTCTGCAAAAGGTTAGGGACTACGTAGTCTGCAAGTACTGAACTCTGACGAAGAATGCATGATGAGGGATCTCTAGGCAACACAGATAATGCCACCAGCACAAGAGTTTGGATCTCTGGATATATCCATGACAAGAGTAGGAAGTTGATAGTCATCATGTCCTTTTGCCCAAACCTGACAAGACTTTCAGGAGGTTTTCCAGCTTACAGAAACTGGCTGCAGATGGAAACCTTGAGTTCCTAATTACTGGTAACCCACTTGGAGGCCCAGGGGACTCAGTAAGTAGGTTATAAGTAGAGTTATAAGTACCTTAAATGGAGTTACCCCAATTACAACCCTACTTATAACCGACTTACTAAGTCCCCTGGGCCTCCAAGCAGAAGCCATAAGTCCAGAATTCTTGTTGGAGCGTCCATGAGCCACCGGCCCCCCCTTTTGTTGTTTGAAAGAAAATCCTCCTAGTGGAGAAGTGGCCTTGGAGAAGTTAGCTGCGTCTTCGGGGTGTGAGCTTACGCACCCCGGACACGGCTTGTGCCTCCAATGCGTACTGTATGCGCCGAAGCTCTTGCTGTATTCAAGGGTGTAGGCACTAGTCCTAGGTAGCATTAAGGAGACCCCTGAAAGGGGACCCTTCTTAACCCTACTTATGGCTCTCTTAAACGAGACCTTATTGAGAGGGTCTCTATCCCCAAGGGACCCTCTAATCCTAACCCCTAGCTACAAACTGGAAAGCTGGCGGGTCATGCTGTCCCAGCATAGACTGTGAGGATATTTGCATTCGATAATGGGACACATTCTGAGCTGGGTTCATATTTTTGGCATGGTTTCATCGAGTTCATCGACTCGCGCGGATCCCTTTAGAAGACAGCGAGTAGGTCGGGACAGCGGAGGCAGGCGCGTGCAATTCCAGTTTGGCAGCAGCTTTGGCCACAGATGCTTGAGATGCTATCTGTGGCCGTGGCAAGCCTTGATCCTGCTCTTTAAGAAGGGACCAGAGCTGAACAACATAGAGGGGAGAAGTCAGAAGAACGAATACGACGGTAGTAAAGCAAGGACATAGATGTGTAACAGTACACCCCTTAGAGTGCATTTGCAAGCATACTCCAACATAATTTACCTTAAACCCTCCTAAGCCCTAAACCCTAAACCCTGGAGCTGCACATGGCCCTGTTGCCACCCCGGACGATGCCATGTCTTCCCGTGGAGAGGCTGAGAGTGGTGCTGAATCTTCCTTGGATGAGGAAGAGACTGCGGCTGATGATGAGAATGCGGGTGAGGTGAATGCCTCAGGGGTGGGAGCCCTTGTGTCGCCGCCTGTGGGTAGCGATCCTGTGGTGAGTGAGCTGGCGGATCCCGAACCTGAGGGTGGTCACATGGATGTGGAAGAACGAGGCCGGTCTAGTGGTCATGGTGGCGATGGTGACGACGATGAGTGTACTCTTATGGATCGAGGTGATAGAGACCCGAGGAAGCGAAAGTCGCGCACACCACCCAAGTCGGCGAGGAGGCAGGAATCGGCACGCGCGTCCTCATCAAGGCGACCAGGGGGCGGCAGCCGTGAAGTGGATGGAGGCTCCAGTTGGACTGACCGGGACATGCCGCGACGAAGCAGGGGGAACCATACAGAAAGGGCTGCACCCGCTTCCGGTGGCCGTGTTCGCTGCACGGAGGAGACGATAAGGCTGAGCCCGAGGTCTATTCCAACAAGGGTCGGGGGTGACTATGTGCGCCGCTCTACCGCTGCAGCTGCTTCTTCGTCTGACCCCCTCAATGTGGACTTCACCGTCTTCCCGGATGGCCCGACGGACGTGGACCAGGCGGTGGACATTTGGAGGCACATGCTCGGCATTGCCAGCTTTGGCAACCCGTCGAGCCCCCCGATCCATAGGGGTGGGCCCTTCATCCCGGATGACAGGGCGGAATATATGGGTGAGGTTCTTAAAGGCTACAACACCCAACAGCAGGCCTTCATGACGTTGGCCTTGCTCACGGCCATTCGGGCCCTGTTAACCGAGCTGGGTCAGATCCTGCATGCGGCCTCTCTCGTGGATGTGGTTGTGGAGGAAGACGACCCTCAGGGTGATGGAGATGGTACGGGTCTGGTGCAGCTCCGGACGCTCAGGAAGGTGTACCGTGAAGAGGGAGACGAAGCTGGCTTTATGCAGATGGGTCAAGTGACTGCGACTGGAGTGCTACAGCGGCTTCAGCGAGCTTTGGAAGAGTCCCAGCCGGGCGTGGCCCGACTCAGGGCGGAACATCTTCGGTCGCGGGTGGCCAGAGCTCAGGCGACAAGCGCGGCATGCTCAAGGGACCATGAGATCCTGGCCAGTGTTGATGCCCTGTGTCTGGTGATGACTCATGGAGGCCAACAAGCGGAGGGGTTTGCAGCCAGGCCGGGCGAAGTGGAAGAATGGGGATGGCATTGGTGGCAGGCTATTCAACGGGAGATGGCACCCTCGTCCTCCCCCTCGGCGTTTCCGGCATCGTTGACGGCAAGGGCGCGTCGCATCGTCGACTCTGACGTGGACAGTGCTGTTGTTAATGAGCTAGCGGAAGAGGAGAGGCTGGCTAGAGCTCAGCGGGAGTCGGACGAGGCCCAGGTTGACCGTTTTGAACAGGAAGAGGAGGACTACCTCAGAGGGGTGGTCAGGCTCCAGGACAGCACGGACGAGGAGATCGAGAAGGCGAAACGTTACCAAATGTGGGATGACTGGGCCATGTACGATGAGATGATGAAGCAGGGAGTGCCGAGGAAAAGGCGATTTGTGGAGGTGTCCCTTGGTGCGGGTGAAGTGCCGAGGGCGGTGGGTCAGGGCCCCTCTGGACCGTCAGTTGCAAGAATCTGGGTGCCGGAAGGGAGGGACCTCAGGCTGTCCTTGCGTGTTGGCTATGCTGCTGAGGGCCTCTCTGAGGGTCAAGCTCTGGAAGAGGCTGACAGCAATGCCGATACTGTGGTGGTCCCGAACGTCGGTGCTCAGGGAGGGCAGCAGCCGAACCCTGTTGCGGTTCCCTCTGGTGCGCCTGGGGACAGGACTGGCATCCCGCTGGGTGGACGGAAGGGTATATCACCAGTGACGAAGTGGCGACCCAATTTGGACGGCACACCCTGGATCTTCTCCAGACGCAGCGGCTTGCCATCAAGACGGACGGTGACTCGATGGCCCATGGCTGGCAGGCTTCGACTGAAACTATCCTTGATGCTCTGGTTGAGAGTGTGGGTCCGGAAGTGGGTGGCGATGTCACTGGCGAGGTCCAAGGGGATCAGATGGATGTCGGAAGGGGTCCGGAGACTGCTGCTGGTGGCTATGAGGATGATGAGGACCTCGACGAGAGCGCGGTCATTCTTGCAGAAGGGTTCGATATGGGCCTCGGGAGTGGTGTGGATCGTGCTGTACGTCGTCGTGGATACCCAGGGAAAGTCTGGAGGGATCGCAGTGATTAGGGTTTAACCTCGGTGACGTCTGACAAGAGGTGCTTTCTGAGCGAGGGGTTGTTTTGAGTGGCACTCATGGCCTGGTTGGGGATTGTAAATGTCCTCGCTGGAAGCTAAAGGTGCCGAAACCTGCCTGCCCTAGTGGGCTCACCTGCGGACATGGTACTGTGGGAAAAAGGCCCTCAAAAAAAAAAAAAACTCTGAACCCTAAACCCTACCCCCCCACACCCGATGCTTTAGCATTAAGGCCCCCACACCGTTCGGGTCCATGACCGGGCCGAAGCAGATCTCTGGGTTTTCCTCTCAGTTCGGATTTGGGTTTTGGGTTTAGGGGTTTTGGGTGTTAGTATAGGGGCCATAATAATTAGAATAGGGTTTGAGGTATATTATAATCATATTGATATAAGGAGCCCCGCAAAACCCTGTTCTGATCATTACGGCCCCTCAGCCCTAAGCCCTTATAAAACCCTTTAAGGAACCCTTTAAAGAAACCCCCAAAACCCTATTCTGACTCTTAAGGCCCCTACAGTAGGGCCGCAAGACTTCTGAGACCCAGGTCGAAGACTCACCCGAACCCCCCATGGCCGCAACGCAACGCCCCTAAGTTTAGGGTTTAGGGTTCAGGGTTTAGCGGAGTTTAGGGTTTCGAGTTTAAGGTTTAGGGCAGTTTAGGGTTTAGGGTAGAGTTTAGGGTTTAGGGTTTAGGGTTCCGAAATCCAATAGCTACGGTTGATGATATTTATAAATCCTGCATTACCTTAAACGACCCTAAACTAAGGGAAGTATGGTAGATTCCTTGTTATGAGTAATGCAGGATCTATATCATCAGCCGCAGGGGGCAGTTTGGGAAACTTCACAAGTTCCCTTATGGTCCCCATAGAGGTACGTATTCCTAAATACTTTTCAGGGCCCCGAAAACTACAACCCAGATATTCAGCCCTCAGTCTGCAGTCAACGACTTTCCATGTTAGGTCTCGCGGACTACACAAGCCCGACCCTAACCCTGAACCTTTTAAGAGGGTTTTGGGGGCTCCTTATTGTAATTATAGTATATTCTACACCCAAACCCTATTCTACTTATTAAGGCCCCGGAGCAGGGTGTATAATTATAGTATATTATACCCCCAAACCCTATTCTACTTCAGAAGGCCCCAGACCAGCAGGTTTCGGAGATCTAAGTGAAAAAGAGGCATCGAAGCCACGATGCTCTGATCCGCTTCTGCAGAGCCCCGACCCCTTCTCAGTTTTGACGGGGAGGGACCACGTCGCTGATTCGAGCGGTAAAGGTGGGGGTTGTCCCTAAACCCTAAACCCTAAACCCCTAAACCCTAAACCCTACACCCTAAACCCGTACCAGTGGACACGAAACGCGAACTGAGCGATGACGACGGCGAGGGCGAGGACGTGCCATCCTCAACGACGATAACGGGACTAATTGATATATGAAGCTGATTAAGTGACCTACCCTCCTCAGTCTCCGAAGCTCCCCGAGCAGTTGCAAACTCAGAGCCATCTCAGGATATATACACATATATATATATATAGTACCCTATTATATTATGCTATAGACCTTCATTATGTATTTAATATATATTGGCTTTCACTTGAATGATGGACCAACGGTCCTGCTCGGGCATCCGGCTCATGCAGACGTCCACGGAGTCTTAAGCCTTCTCGAGAATTACTTGGAGGCCCAGGGCACTTAGTAAGTAGGTCATAAGTAGAGTTATAAGCACCGTAAATGGAGTTACCCCAATTATAACCATATGTATAACCGACTTACTAAGTCCCCTGGGCCTCTAAGTAAGCTATGAACCCCAAACCCGGAACCCTGTGCAGGTCTAAGTTTACGCCCTCTCAGCCTCCAGAGCGACAAGAACATGGTGCGAGGGCTTTTGCGGTTTGTGTTCCCCAACAAATCTTGTTTCGGATGTCCGGGCTTTCTCTCAAAACCCCGAGCGACCCGATGAGTTAAGTTGACATGGTTGCGTGACTCCCAGTGCCATGGGTTCTTCTCTGGCAACCCTCGTGTCGATAGTGGCTGCCGCAGGCAGTGAGGCCCGGGGAAGTCTGAGACGCTGGTTAAGCGATGACTTCTATGTTGGGGTTGAGTTGTGGATTCGATGGGTTTGTCATTTCAGTTTTCGGGTAAAGCTGTTTCCACAGTGGTGGTTCCGAATTGGTGGACAGATGTGCTGAGCGGCGCCGGGTGAGACACTTTCAACAGCTATACCTGCTTTGTACAGTATTTGTCGTGGGCTTGATGTCTGCATTGCGCAGCAGCATGGAGGGGAGCGACGGTAGAAACACTGCATGACAACCGAACGCGAAGCCTTTTGTCGGAAGCACAAGAGTCATTCCTTGGAGACATGCAAAAGCACGTACCGTAGCCCCGATCTTCACACATCACACAAATCTTCTCTGGTAGAGCCTCATCGGCACCTGACAAAAAGCACATGCACATCACACATAATATAGGGCCTTCATAATTACCTATACTATTTTGAGGGGTTCCTTATTGCAATTATAGTATAAAGGGCCCCCAACACCCTGTTCTAATTATTAAGGCCCCTACAGTACTCCGTCAGTCAAAGTCGGACAGGTTTCCGAAGCTTTTGCATCGTTTCGGGCGCTTGGCTGTGGTAGTCAACTTGACAGAATCTGAAGTCCTGGCGACTTTGCTAATCTAATGTAAGGGCCTTAGTAATTAGAGTAGGGTTTGGGGGGTTCCTTATTATAGTTATAGTATACTATTACACCCCAAAACCTATTCTAATTATTGAGGCCCCCATAAACCCTAAACCCTGACCCTAAACCCATATTATTCCAGGACGCAGCCTGCTCTGCTGGAAAGCAGCCGTGGCGACCACCAGAACTCCTTTCAAGGCCGAGGGTTGGGAATTCCCAGCCGCTCTAATATAGGGGCCTTCATAGTTTACCTATACTATTTTGGGGGGGTTCCTTATTATAGTTATAGTATAATATACCAAACCCTAAATCCTTAACCTCTAAGCCCTAAACCCTCAGAGTTTCGTGTGTGTGTGTGTGTGTGTGTGTGTTGGTTGCGAGTTGGATGAACGATTTCGGGCGCGGTTTTCTTCGATCTCACTGCCGTTGCTATGACATGAAAGGCCCTACTACTACTACTACTACTACTCCTCCTCCTCCTGCTGCTGCTGCTGCTGCTGCTGCTGCTGCTCCTACTCCTCCTACCCCTACTTCTGCTCATACTCCTACTCCCACTTCTCCTCCTGCCCCTGCTCCTGCTCCGGCGCCCCACCTGCTGCTCCTACTGCTTCTGCCGCTACTGCTACTGCTGCTGCTACTGTTGCTGCTACTGCTACTGATACTACTTCTGCCGCCACCACCGGCACAACTACAGCTCTTGCAGACATTTGCATACATGGCACTTAGATTATGCTAGCGAGGACAGGAATGATAGCGACAGGCACACCAGTGACAGTGAGAGTGTTCGCCACATCCTGTGCATGGGGCCTCGTTGCCTCTGCTGGAAAATCTGTCTTTCAGAGAACCTGAGGTGCGAGTTCGGACTGCAAGGTTCAGGATCTGAAGCCGGCAAGAGGATCAGATCTAGCAAGTACGTATCAGGCAGTGCCCACTGAATCCGGTCGTCGGATCCCAGGACCTTAAGTAACAACACAGGCGCAAGCACTCGGTCAATTAAACCCTAAACCCTGACCCTAAACCCTAAACCCTAAACCCTAAACCCTAAACCCTAAACCCTAAACCCTAAACCCTAAACCCTAGACCCTAAACCCTAAACCCTAAACCCTAAACCCAGCAGATTGGCCAGTCATGGGGGAACCCAATCTTGGACCCACACACAAGCGATGTCCCTACTGCCTCTGCGCCCAGCGTTGCATGGGCTCGTAGTAAACTTGTTGAGGGTTTAGGGTTTAGGGTTTAGGGTTTAGGGTTGCTAAACTTGTTGATGTGAATTCGTCAGCATTCCTCATTACTGTAAATGTGCCTGGACCTTGCGTGCTCGGTGCATATCACCTTCACTGTACAAGACTTGTTTGCCTCGTTCTCCATTTCTCCATAAAGTTGGAAGCCATGTCCTCCGGCAAGGAAGCCGTTGATCTACATCATTGATAACTTCGCAACCAAGGACCCGGATTTTGGGCTCTGGCTTTCGTGTCCTTGGCCCCCGAAACCGCTGGAAACACGGCCTGAATCCCGCGGAAGGCTCGGCTCTCACTATGGATTACGTAGTGGCTGGGCTGTGCCGACCACCATCCTTTGTGCCCCAGGCCTGTCAGTTTAGGGTTTAGGGTTTAGGGTACAGGTCCCATAGAGGGCCCCGCTTACTGGTCGGACCACAGGCTGCATAAATCTACATAATAGTCGTCCATGCCGATCTCGGCGCTTCTATTGAACTATACATTGTGGCATCCAGCAGCAACGACGAGCTGTAGTGTTGTATGGCTTGTCACCAGTATCATTGCAATCATGGTCTCTGATCATCGAGAAATCCGGCTCCCCTTCCACTGAAGATCACCCAAACCAGCCCTCAGAGGAGGAATGCCAGCAGGTGTTTGAGGGAAGCCCCTCCTTTGCAAAAATCTGCCTTGTTTGGTTTGGGAGGCGTTGCTGAAGTAAGCTGCAGAAGTTGGAAAACCAATCAGATGTTAAGTCTGTGGTTGGAGCGTAGGCCGTTGCATGAAGGATAGTCTCTTTTGCAGCACTGGTCGAAACATTCAGAAAAACGTCTTGTGTTTGGTTGAGGTTTGCCCGGGTTGAACAGGGCTACCTTTGTGACAGGGTGCGGCGAAACCTCTAAATACATTGAGCGAAACTCGTGCTCGCCAGTCGAGTATCTGCGGTTTTCCCGCAAGTACTGAGCCCTACACCCTAAACTTCCCTAAACTCGAAGACTCCAAAGTGCGAGAATCCGGAATGCCGAGCTTTTCTATCATGTTTGTGTAGCCTACTGAACCCTACACCCTAATCCCTGAACCCTAAACCCTAATCCCTGAAGCCTAAACCCTAAACCCTTTTCATCTTTGTGTAGCCTCCGCTTGCCTTAGGTCACGGGCGTATGGAGTCCGCGCGAGTCTGGTCAGGGAGCATGACCCTGCAAGCCATGAACTCCTCGGTGACATTCGGCCTTGTATATTTTCTTTCAGATTATATATATATATATATACATACGTATGTAATATATTGTAAGATATCTCTATATCTATCTATATATATATATAACATATTATATATAATTCAGTTAGAAAACCTTCGGGTGCAGCAGTTAGCATTGAGGGCTTAGGGTATGTGTTTTATTTTGGGCCAGGGCTTCTGCCATGCAACCTGTGCACGGTTTGCCTGTGAAGTAATGCACGGTTTGTTTTACCATCCCTTCTTCCCCTTGGTAATATAGGGGCCTTAATGGTAAGAATAGGGTTTTGGGGTATAT